GGAGAATCGCTCTTGTGTGAGTATGCTTCAGGCAGAGGCGTGAACTGGAATTCCACAGCAAAGTTGTTTTCAGGGTGGCTTTTCCAAGTGAGGATTTCACTGGAGAGTTTTCTAACGTCTTGTACTTTGCAAGCTTGTCAACAGTATGTGCTTGGAGCCAGCTCTTAAATAGTAACGCTATTTTCTCATTTATTGACACCTTGGGGAAAAAGGAAGTTGTTATTTTAAAATAACCTGTTTAAAGTTGGCTCTGCACCCTACTACTCTATGGTAATTGAGAGAATTTCTGCCCTTGAAGTCTAAGACGTACCAGGAATGTGGAGGGGGGGTTGTTTTTATCCCCCCCTCCCCCCCCCCAAGGGTTTTTGGCAGGAGTCCCTAACAAAACTTCCCACTTCCCTCCCAGAGCTTTGTGGCTTGGAAAGGTAATTAGCTGCCGCTAACTCATGGTGTGACTGAAAAGAAAACCTTAATATCTGAACATCTTTTTGGGAGCTCTCTGGTCTCTTCAGTCTTCTGAGCTAACAATTATCTCAACTTACTAAATACTTTAATCTCTTTTCCTGGCAAATTGCTGAACTGCAGGAGTTCAATGATGGCCTGCCTGGCAGTTTGCTGGCTGTCTGCGTCTTTAAATTCCATGCTTCAGGCCATTCCTCTGTCCTGTCCTTGTGTTGTAGTATCTGTAATTCACCGTTTTCTGAAATGTCCTTTCGGGAGGAGCCTGATCATCTGCATTACGGGTGTGTGTGACGCTCTCTCCTTTTAAATTCAGCCTTTTGTCATCAGCTCCTGTAGGAAGGAAACTCCCTAGCACGGCTGTCTCGGGCCCAGTGTTAAAAGCAGCATGCGGAGAGTGGGCAGTGCCATGGCAGTGGTGGGAAGAGGGCTCACCCGTTGTTTCTTCTCCTTCAGCAGCGAGCACAGAAGCTGCTGAAGAGAATTCAGACAAAGAGGCAGAGCCTGAAGAGCCCCAGGAGAAAGCAAAAGTGCAAGGGGCACCAAAAATAGAAGAGGAGGAGCAGGACTTAAAGGTATGGAGATGCAGAGGTGTGTGCCGGTGAGATTTGTTCCGGCATGCGTAGGAGATAATAGCTGGGTGCTTAGTTGTTCCCTGAAGCTGTGACCAGTGCGCTTTCACCACAGCTCCTGGGGCTCTCTGCGGCCCCCATGGTGCTTGCCATGCTGCCTGCAGTCAGCGCTAAGGGGTGTTCTCGCTGCCTCGGCCAGCTCTGCCCAGGGTGCATAAGCTACCTGCGGTGTTTGAGCAGTCGTTTTTTAGGCTGTAGGTTTTGACGCAGCTGGTGCAGGGGTAACTTTGCCTGCCTTTCAGACCGCTGGCAGAACAGCATTATCGTCTGGGCTGAGAAGGGTGGTGGGGGTAGCCCTGGACCTCCGAACCCAGCTTTACTGCAAGAACAGCTTGTCTGGCCACAGTTCCTTTAGAGCTGGCTTTGCCCTGTGAAGCAATGCCTGGGCTGGATTGAGCCAGGATCTCTTTAGCCCAGTATCCTGTCTCCAGCAGAAACCAGCAGCGAAGGTTTGAAGGGGGAAGGGGGAGGAACAGGGCAAAGAATGACCCCTAGGTCTTCTCATGAGAGAGAGAGAGAGAGAAAGAGCACAAATGCTTTTGTTTTGACTTTCTTCCTGATATTAATGATATTACAGTCCTTTCTCAGGTGCTATTTAGTCATCCAGTTTCCAGACTGAAGAATCTGAGTCTGTAGCTTCTCTGTGTCTGGAGGCTGTTGATATTTGCCATTCTTCCTATACCCCGGCATGGCTTCTTTTTGAGGCAAGAGCAGCCAGAAATAGGCTGTTGGATGCCAATTGTGAATGCTCTCAGGATTTTTGCAGCGTTGTTCTGATGTTTTCTCTTCTGCTCTCTTCGAAGGCCTGGTTTGCTTTTTTTTGATGGTGGCTGAATGATTCCCAGAGCCCTTCCTTGAGCTGTATAGTTCACTCGGAGCCTGCTGCTGTGTGTGTATGGTTATGCAGGGTACTAGGGGAAATCTCTCTATCTGTCCCTACCAGCCTGTACGCTGTCCCGCAGTCACATATTACCATGGCATCTTCTGCAGCATTGAATTTGACTTCTGAGTAATTTTACTTCATTAGTAAATGTTGTTGCTTCCCTTTGCCAGATGGTTTATGTATGGCAGCTCACGGTAGAAACCCAGGGGAAGTCATCTTCCGCTGTGATAACTGACCCTTAATCCCACCCTCATTGCCCATCACTTAATTATTTTTCGAGTGTGAGAGGACTTTTCTGTTTTCCTCATCATAGACTCAGCCTCTGTCTCCTAAAATATTACTAAATAAATTACTAAAATGCCACTTTAATATTAGAATTGTGAGACATGATTTCCCTGCCTATAACCTGCAAGCCTCCCCAAGTGCAGTATATAAACAAATCTGTCCTGTTTTTTCAATTAAAAAAAAAAATTGCCAGCTGCAGGAATCATGCTCACTGGCTTGCTGTGTCCCAGATTTCTTCTGGAAGCCTTTAAAAGCCTCTGATAGTAGAGGTGCTCTGTGGGATGGGCTGTATGCTGTAACATAGTGATTTCACATGCAAGATTCCCTTAGGGCTGTTGGATGAATGCCGTCTGCCCTGGTAATTTGTTTGCTGTACTGGTTTGGGCTGATATCTCTTCTGCTGGCTCATTTGTTTGTAGGAGATTTCTGTGGATCCTCTGCTGTGAAATAACACTCTGGTGCGGGATCTTTCCTAGCTTCTCTGCAGCAATGTGGATGCAGAGAACCCATTTTGCTGTCTCAGGCTTCTCTAGCACTGCTCATCTTAACTGGCTCATCCCTGTCCCTGGGGATGGATGCTACGTTGTTGGCCTTTGGGACCTTCTGGAGTCTCTTTTGAAGAACGAAGGAAAAAGAGATTTTTTTTCAGAGCCCTCCTTAAAGGGATCTTTATCCTACTTGCGGGCATCTCTCTGTTTCTGCTTTTAATTGTTTTCTGACTTGTATTTGCTTTTATGCAATTCCCCTCAATCTGTCATGTCGCAGTGCAATGCTTAACTTGGATTTTTCACTCCTACAGGGATGTTGGATTTCAGTAACCATAATCACTACAGGCCAGTCGGAATCTTAAAATAGATTCTGTCCTTTACTTGGGTGTAAATCCAGAGTCGTTGCTTCTCTTGTGCACTTTCCAGCTAGTTGCACTGGAAAGTGGTGATTTTAAGAAGTCTGAAAATACAGCCTGGCCCATTTCCTTTGGGAGATGGTTACAGTATTTTATTTTTAACGTTTTCTGCCCCTGGGACTGCTGTGCTATGACTTCATGGCTGGGATGCTAAAGTGGACCGAGCCTATAATCTCCTTTGGCTGGTTTGAAGCGGTAACTGCCAAGAAGCTGTGGGGGCTGTGACTGGGTGCAGGGAAAAGTGGGTGCAAAGAATGGGATTTGCTGGCACCTCTGCAGGCACCTCCAACTACTGGAGTCAGAAGGTCTTGTGTCCTGCCACCCTGCACAGACCCCGTCCCTGGGGATGCAGGAGGCAGTGGGGCTTAAAGGAGGGGGTGACTGGGGAAGTAGAAATTCAAGACTCTGCTTCCTAGTCCTGTTTCCTGTTGCCTGCGCAGGCTGAAGGGCTGTAGGCAGTCCTAACTCCCATTTGCCCGGAGTGACCCTGAGCCACAGGGCTGCGGTGGGTGCAGCAGCCTTGTATGTGATCCGAGAGCGGCTCTTTACTCTTCCTTTTCTCCTCGGCAGTTTCAAATCGGAGAGCTGGCAAATACTCTGACTAGTAAATTGGAGTTCCTGGGCATCAACAGACAATCTGTCTCCAACTTCCACATGTTGCTGTTGCAGACGGAGGTAACAAGGCCTTCTGTTTAGAAGGGGATCAAAACACTGTCCACCAGCCAAGCACCGAGCTTGGGGGGCTACACGAACCTTGTAGCTTCAGGCGGTAGAGTGCCATGTGCGTGCCTCCTGCAAGGCCCTTCCTCCACGATGAGGAGAGCATGACTTTGCCTGGAAGCGATGTCTTCCTTGGGGCCCCCTCGGTCCTGTGCTGTAAGGGCCCCTCCTTGACCACAAGTCTTGTCCCGCGAGCCTCTGGCAGCCTGCCTCAATGGCTTCCCGTGCTTCTTGCCCTCTAGACCCGCATTGCTGACTGGCGAGAAGGTGCTCTCAATGGAAACTACCTCAAACGCAAACTTCAAGACGCAGCCGAACAGCTAAAACAATACGAAATAAACGCCACCCCTAAAGGCTGGTCCTGCCACTGGGACAGGTACGCGCTCTCCTACCTTTCTCACCTTTCATCTTTGACATCTCAGACATGATTTGTGATCATCAACACCTGACGACGTGGCGCCATCCCTCTCGGAGACTGAGAGCAGCTTCCGTTAGCAGTGCTGGGCAGGCAGAGAAACTTCCGGCACTTACAGAGTTTGGGCCAGCCACCAAATTGGAGAATCCAAAGTGATTGCTCAAGTGTTTTGAGACGGATCTGATTCACTGATTGGACAGAGCTGGTTTTTACTCTCGCGAGTGTAAAGCGCTGTGGAGGGCGGGCCTGGGGGGTCGCGCATGCGAGAGCTCTGTGAACTTTGCAGGATCTCTGGATCACCTCTTCTGACCAACAGTACTGACAAAGGACAAACTTCAACTCATCGACGGAATGAAGAACAAGATTTCTCTCTCCTGCCAGCAGGTCAGACCCAAACATTTCTTTTTCTATTTGGCTTTCTTGATTAATTTTTCCTTATTTGAAATCTTTGCTCTTTTGTTTTTCAGCTCCCAGATCCGCTCCCTCTCTCTAGCATTCACTGTGTGTTTGACACCAAGAGTATCATAAATGCGACCTCCACGCACCACGGGGTAGGGGGGCAGCCACTCCTCTAAACTGGGCTGTTCCCCAATACCTGTTCTGGAGGGTGACTTTAAGCCAAGGCAGTGGCTAAAAGTCCCAATGCTAGCGAGACCTTGCTCTGCTGCACATTGGCCTGCTTTCTCAGCCCTCCTCTCTCGGAGCGGGGGGCTCAGGGCTATATTCACAGAGCCAGCAATGCAAATAGCTTTGAGCGAACCGGCTCGGGCCTCTCCTGCCTCTGTCCTCAAAGTTGTTTGTTGCGTTTGTGAATGGCAGCCCTGCTGCAGAAGGTCTTCCCTGCGAGAGCACACCGCTGTCGCGGGCAGGCCTGCCTCGACGTGTCCCTTAAGGGGGAGAGAATGTAAAGCCTCGTTTTCTTTCTTGTGATTTAGGGAGCATAGACGCTATTTCTATGTTAACGAGCACTCAGGAGAGTCGCAATGGGAGTTCCCCGACGGGGAGGACGAAGAGGAAGGACAGCAGACCACCGACAGAAAAGCCGACGGTCCTCCTAAACCACCTCCCAAAGAAAAAGGAGAGCACGCCGGGGACTCATCAGAGCACTCCGCAGGTACAGCACGGGGGTGCTACGACGGGTGGGAGAAAGAGCGGTCAGCAGATTGCTGCTGTGGTGTGGGTGTCCTGGCCCAGAAGCAGGTCCCTTTCTGTGCTGCGCTCGCCGCAGACACGCAGCCAGGTTGCTGCGGCGCTTCGTGGCCCCGCTGAGCTCGCTGGAGGTCAGAGCAGTACGCGGTGGTACTTGCCTCCCTTACCCAGGCATCTAGCAGTAGCTTTAGAGAAGCTGGGACAGACGCTGCTCCTGTGGCTGAACTGTCCCTCTCGGTTTTGGTCCCCTGGGGCTCCAGTGGTGCTCGGGAAGGTGGGGGGCAGCAGCTCCAATGGCGATCTGAGAGCCTGCGGCCTGATCTCTGCAACCCGCTTCCCAGGCAGGGCCCTGGAAGGGAGGCAGCGAGCGCCTGTGCTGGGGAGCTGCCCTGGGCGAAGGCGCAGCACCGGTGGCTGGGGAGCGGTGGGCAGCGCGGTCAGTAGCGTGGGTTTTCAAGCCTGTGTCAATATGTATTCTTCAGGCTCCCTTTGTAAAGAATCCTTCTCAGGCCAAGTTCCTGCTACGTCTCTCATGCCGCTCACTCCATTTTGGACTCTACTTCAGTCCTCTGTCCCGGTACTCCAACCTCCTTTGCCTTTGGAAATGCCTCCGCCGCCTCCGCCTCCACCAGATTCGCCCCCACCACCGCCACCGCCCCCACCGCCTCCTGGAGAAGACGGAGAGATCCAGGAAGTGGAGATGGAAGACGAGGGGGGTGAGGAGCCACCCGCCCCGGGAACGGAAGAAGAGGCTCCCCTGAAGCCTCTCCCCCGCCCGC